AATTGCTCTGTGCTGAATAATATTGAGCTCCCATACTCGGTAGAGCCATATTTCCTAAGAGGCTAGAGGTTTACATGGACAAGTAGCAGCTGGTGGAAAGAGCAAGGAGTGAAGGCATTTCCCTTCCAGGCATGGGAACTGGGAGCAGGAGTTGGCTGGTGCCCGATTATCCGTGGTGGGAATGCTGGGCCTGGGCGGCGGCGGCTGCTCAAGTTGGTGCCAGGGCTTGAATAGGCTGGTGGGCACTGCCAGGAGGGCTGTGTGAGCAGCAAGTGGGACCCAGCTTTGTGAGGATCCCTTTTCAGAGGGCTGCAGCTCTGTGAGACTCAGTGCAGCTCTGTGGACAAAGTGGAAGCTTTTCAAATGTACACACTGTACCACACTGCTCAGAGGGGCCAGGGATCACATTCATTTATTCATTTTCCAACACCTAAATCTCGTTATATTAATTACATGGAATCCACCAATCTTGGCCAAAAATAGATATATTTTTCTTAATATTGCTCCTTTGCCTGTGTGGCAATCTGTATTGATTTCAACGATTCGTCTCCTTGTACAGAACTTAAAAACTGCAGGCATAGTAAAGGAAAAAAAAACAGCACAAGTAAATCAGCTTAAATCTGGGATTAGCTGTTTGAGGTCTTAAAATGAAGGCTTCAGATCAACTACTTGGAGGCCTAAGGGCTACAAGTGTGGGTGAGCGGCAAGCTGAGACCAATTCATTGTCAGAAACACCTGTATCATAAAATTAAGCATAATTAAGACCTTATTCAATTTGAAATCCATGCTAAACAGTCAATTGTGCCTTGAGAGGTCATGTTAAGGACAACAGTTATTTTCAGGGAGTTTTTTTTCTCCCTCACAGTTAGAAAAATAAGCCATTTTATGTGTTATTCGTAAGTGAGACTGTGATAAACTATTTGTGTCTATAGCTTCTCTCACAGAAAAGACAAAAATAAATTCAAACCTCTCCTCTTCCAAATGAATTGGGCAATTAGCATTTATTTTAGAAGTATTTTTGGGTATAGCAATGAAGCATATGATACTACTACAGCAGTGACATCAGTATAATAATATAGACTCGTTTATTCAAAATAACATACCAGGACTGTGGGGTAGAGCTGGAAAACACCTAAAATAGCATTTACTTGGTTGCTGGTTGCTGATGGAACTTGTGACAACCCCGTGACTATGTTGGTGTTTGCACTGATCAAAAAATACTACTTGGATTGATATTTTGATCTCCACACTGTTAGCACCTGTCCATAATTGGTTTCCTTTAAAATAGTTTCTACACCTTCCTTAAGGGCCTGATGCAATTCTCCTCCTTCAGAATTGCATGAGTCTTCTAAAACGAAGTTTTAAATGATCCTTCATGTGTGCTTCAGAGAAAACCCAAATAAAAAGGTGGATTGGCCATT